TTCCCCCTCCCGGGCCGCCCTCGCAGGAGTGTTACTTTCGCTTGTTTCACTTCCCCCCCAGCCTGGGTCTGAGGCCGTTGCCCGCAGGCCGAGGGGGTGTATAGTGCTGCTGGGACTGGACGGCGCCCTCACACGCCTGACCCCGGTGGCCACCCATCCTAAAGAGGGCTGGGTGCCGGGGTCGCGGTGAAGCAGGAGGAGGAGGAGGAGGGGGAGGAGGAGGGGGAGGAGAAGAAGAGGAGGAGTAATTAGGAGGAGAAGGAGGAGGAGGTGGTGGAGGTGGAGGAGGAAGGAGGCGGAAAGAACATCGCATTCGATTATCGATATTTTCCTTGCGTGGCGTCGAGTTACCCGCAGCAGATCCTCACGTACATGTTCTTTCGATCTGTCCTATGCACGCAGGCATTGTGGTGTACACCGGCGCTGCGTTGCACGCGGATGTTGTGGTGTAGACACGCGCTGTGGCGTGCACAGGCGGTGCGGTGCACGCAAGCATTGTGGTGTACACAGGCGTTGTGTTGCACATGGTAGCTGCGGTGTACGCATGTACACCGGCGCTGTAGTGTACGCAAGCACTGTGGTGTACACAGGCGCTGCGTTGCACACGGTTGTTGCGGTGTTCGCAGGCGCTGTGGCATATACACGCGCGCGCGCGCTGTGTTGCACTCGAGCGTTGTGGCGTACACAGGCGCAGAGGGGCATATCGCCACCTACATGATGGCTTACATGCTGCTCGCGTCGTCGTCGTCGTCGTCGTCGTCGTCGTCGTCGTCGTCGTCGTCGTCGTCGTCGTCTCTCGTCGCTCGTCGCTCGTCGCTCGTCGCGTCGCGCGCGCGGGCGCGGCTGCGGTGCTGGAGCCACACGGCGGGGGGGGCATTACGTCATACCCCCTTTTCGCTTTCCCCCTCATGACGCCCGTCATCGCCGAACATAAAGAAACGCTCTCCTTCGCTCATTCCGCCAGCCCTGGAGCGCTCTTTGAGGCCTCTTGGGGGCATCTTGGGGTTCCTTGTTGGCGTCTTGGGGGCCCCCCCCGGGGCCTCTTGGGGGGCTCTTGGTGGCCTCTTGGGGCGGGAGGGGGAAGGTAGTCGATTGCGGCTCCCCCCTCGGAGGCCACGATCCTCGTGAGGGGTGTCGAGAAATGGCCCTCCCCTGGGGCGCTCTGCTCGCCAGCCCGGGCCAGCAGCTCCCCGAGGAGGCGGAGTGCCGGCTGCCTCGGCGAGTTCGAGACGGCGGCGGGTGTCCATTCAGCCGCGCGCAGAGGGGGGTGGGGGGAGGGGGGAGGGCTTCTTAGAAGCAGCCTGCTTCTAAGAAACCCCCCCCCCTCCCTCCACCCCCTTGTGCGCGCCGCCAATCCATGGCGGCGGCGGTGCGGCCACGTCGGCTGAGGCCACGTCGGCTGCGGCCGCGGCGGCGGCGGCCACGGTGGCTCGGCCGTCGGCAGCAGCGCGGCGGCGGCCTCGGGGCGATGCACCGCATCAATGGCTCCCCGCCTCCTCCTCCTCCTAAAAAACGTCCTTGATGACCCTCGTTCCTTTTCCCCATTCCCATCCCTTTCCCCTGTCCCTCCTCTCCCGTCCCGTCCCCTCTCCCAGCCGGCCCCCCCCCCTCCGCTCTCGTCCGCGTCATTGTCGTCGCCTCCCCTCCTCACTCGCCTCTCGGCGGCGAGCGAGGAGGGGAAATGAGAAGGAGAAGGCCTTCTCAGAAGGCGGCGGGACTTCTCAGAAGCCCTCGTGCCTTGTGAGAAGGCCTTCTCCGAGGAGGGCTCAGGAGGGCTGGTGCCTTCGCGGAGGGCTCAGGTGCCTGTCTGGTGCCTTCGCGGAGGGCTCAGGAAACCTCTCGGAAGGCGGGGCGACTACCGAGCCCTATGAGAAGGCCTTCTCCTTCTCGCTTCCCTCCCTCGCTCGCCGCCGACCGTTGCCACCCGCCCGAGACAACCTAAGGGGCCACATGCGAGCCCTACCCCTACCCCCCACGATTTCTGAGGGGGAGGGTGGGACTCACTTTGTTCGGGAGCTTCCGAGCGAAGTGAACCCCACCCCCTCAGAAATCGTGGGGGTAGGGTCAGGGTTCGCATGTGGACCCCCTATCTCCCACCCGGCCCCAATCCGTTCAAAATGATTCCTTGGACGCCTCCTGAGGTCCGTACGTCAGGCGATCGCAAACATGGATTAAGGGGGCGTGGATTGGCGACGGGTCCCGTTTCCGTTGGAAATCGCTGATTGCCGCCGCCGAACGAGGCGCCACCGGCCGCATTTTGGGGAGGGCACCTCCCCGATCCATGGATTGGGCGACCGCGCGCCAAATGCATGGATCGCTAATCCGTGTTTGCACGCCCCCGACTTGGACGCCTCCTGGGGCCCATACGGACTGGACCTTCGAGGCGAAGTGTCCCGCCGGCGGCGACGGGGAGCCTCTCCGCAGGAGGCGCTCCAAGGGGACGCACCCGTCGGCCAGCGGGAGCCCTGAGCAGTGCGCTGCTGCACTTGCGGAGGTGCATCACCACCTACCCGACCACCCCAACCCAACCCGAAGGCCTCAATTTGCCCTCCATTTCCAGTGGGGGGGGTCGGGGAACGTCGAAAAAATATATGGAACCCGTACCCCCCCCAACCCGAAATTCGGGTCAAATTCGGGTCTTCGGGTTGGGTTGGGGTGGTTTGGTAGGTAGTCAGTGCAGGCTACGGGGTACAGGCTAGGTTTAAGTCTGGCTTGTCCCTCGACAGGCGGAAGGTTCAGAAATAGGCAAAACCTAGTCTGGGGACGATTTTCGGAGTATCTGTTAGCATGTTTGGTGCACTGGTTGGCTACTTCTTATCTTCGTCGAAGGGCCGCCTGTAGGAGGACACACCCGACCTACAGCTAGGTGGTGAGGGCTATTTGGTGTAAGCCATGTGGTGTGAGCTATTTGGTGTAAGCTAGGGCTGAAGGCTTAGAAACTTCTCAGAAGGCTCGGGAGACCTCCGAGCCTTCTGAGCAGGCCTTTTCCTGCTCACTTGACCCCCCTGGGTCGCCGCGGACTCAGACCGCCCGTACTATCCAACCTCCATTTTCTGTACAAAACGGGGGTACCTCGTCTTCCACAGCACGAGGTGCCGATGATGTAGGCCGGGCGCCGCGACGTCGACACTTTTTTGTCCAACCATCCTATAGAGTTGGGCCCTCGGTTTGAAGAGAATGCGCCCCGCGTTCCTTCCTATTTCCTTCCTCCTCCCACTCCTCCCTCCTCCCTGCGTTCCCCCCACAGTACAGCGTTTCGTGGCCCCATAGGGAGCTCCACCGAAGGTCCTAGTGGGGGAACTCGCATGCGGTTCCTGCGCCCAGTGCGGTGTTCCGTGGCCCCGTAGGGAGCTCCAGCTAAGGTCCCAGTGGCGGAACTCGTATGCGGTTCTTGCGACCAGTACAGCGCTTCGGGGCCCCATAGAGGGAGCTCCACCGAATGTCCCCGTGGCGGGGCTCGCATGCAGTTCTTGCCCCCAGTACAGCGCTTCGTGGCCCCATCGAGGGAGCTCCACCGAAGGTCCCCGTGGCGGAACTCGCATGCGGCTCCTGGGCCCAGCACAGCGTTTCGCGGTCGTGGCCTCATGGGGAGCTCCAGCGAAGGTCCCGGTGTCGGAATTCGCATGCGGTTCCTGCGCCCAGTGCGGTGTTCCGCGGCCCCGTCGGGAGCTCCAGCGAAGGTCCCCGTCGCGGGGCTCGCATCGGTTCCTGCGCTCGGTACAGCGCATCGTGGCCCCATCGAGGGAGCTCCAGCGAAGCTCCCAGTGGCGGAACTCGCATGCGGCTCCTGCGCTCAGCACAGCGTTTCGTGGCCTCATGGGGAGCTCCAGCGAAGGTCCCGGTGGCGGAACTCGCATGCGGGTCCTGCGCCCAGTGCGGTGTTTCGTGGCCCCGTAGGGAGTTCCAGCGAAGGTCCCAGTAGCGGGACTCGCATGCGGATCCTGCGCCCAGTGCAGCGTTTCGTGGTTCTACAGGGAGCTTCACCGCAGGTCCTCGTGGCGGGGCTCGCATTGGTTCCTGCGTTCAGTACGACGCTTCGTGGCCCCACAGGGAGCTCCACCGAAGGTCACAGTGGCGGAACTCGCATGCGGCTCGTGCGCTCAGCACAGCGTTTCGTGGCTTCATGGGGAGCTCCAGCGAAGGTCCCGGTGGCGGAACTCGCATGCGGGTCCTGCCCCCAGTGCGGTGTTTCGTAGCCCCGTAGGGAGTTCCAGCGAAGGTCCCAGTGGCGGGACTCGCATGCGGATCCTGCGCCCAGTGCAGCGTTTCGTGGTTCTATAGGGAGTTTCACCGAAGGTCCTCGTGGCGGGGCTCGCATCGGTTCCTGCGCTCAGTACAGCGCTTCGTGGCCCCACAGGGAGCTCCACCGAAGGTCCCAGTGGCAGAACTCGCATGCGGTTGGGGAGCGACCAGCGCGCGTCGCGGGAACTCTATGCTGCGCTCTGCCCAGCGCCTTGCTCGCCTGTCGTCTTTCTGCCCAGCAGCCAGAGGCTTGCCTGCAATCAGCCACTTAGCTAGCTCTGTTCGCTCCGCGAATCGAACGACCCTCGCGCGTCGCTGGGACCCCTTTGGGGCGACCACCGCGCGTCGCGGGGACTCCGCGTTGCGCTGCGCCCGCAGCCTTGGGCTTTGGAGTTCGCGGGCACAGAGGGAGAATGCGAAGGGAATGGCAATCTTGGGCGGTCTAGCTTGTTTCGTTACCCCCCATCAAACAGATCACGGACAGAAGGAGCCACGCAGAAGGCCAGGGAGCTCCACCGAAAGCCCCATTGGCAGCGCCCGCGTGGCGCCGCCATTCCATCTTGGCACATCCCTCGCGCGGTTCGTGACCCCCACAAGGAGTTCCACCGAAAACGACATTCACAGCTGTGGTTCTCACAGCTGCATGTGGTTGGGTCCTTCGCCGGGCTAATTGGCTTTTGCCTCCGAGCGGCGGCCGTCGCCGCGAGACGCGCGCGCGGCGCCCTGCCCTCCGCGGCGCGCGCCCGCGGGCTGCACAGGCTCCGGCGAGCTTGGTGGCGAGGCGCCGCGCCTCGGGCGCCGCCGGTGGATCCCGCCGCTCGGCGGCACGCGCGCGCCACAGCTCCAAGGCCAGGAGGAGGAGGAGTAAAAGGAGGAGTAAAAGGAGGAGGAAAAGGAGGAGGAACAGGAGGAGGAGGAGGAGGAGAAGGAGGAGGAAGAGGGGGACGAGGAGGAGGAGGAGGAGGAAGAGCAGGAGGAGGAGGAGAAAGAGGAGGAAGAGGAGGAGGACCAGGAGGAGGAGGGAGGGGCGAGGTTTGGGCGGGCAGCTCAAGGGTCAGAACGCTCCCCGTGCGTCGAAACAGGGTTCGTCTTTACAGTCATCGCGCGCCTAGGTAACAAGAGCGCGCGCCCTCATCAAGGGTGCCCTTGTGCCCTTGCATCGCGGAAGTCTTCCACGTCTGAGCGTTTCCCCCCTCCTCCCCCCCCGCGGCCGCCCTCGTCTTCTTTCTTTCCTCCTACACGCCGGACAGCTCGCCTTTCGATATCCCCGATTAGCTGGTGCGGACTGCCTTTGGCTCGCCGCCGACGAGGCAAGTGTCCTTACCTCTGCGGCCCGTCCTTTGCCGCTTTCACGTGTCGCCCGCCGCCCAAGCAACCCCAACCTCGGCCTCCAAGGGTCGCGACCTTACCACCCGTTTTTAATACACGTCGTGATTGTACTTCGCCCTCTCTCGCTCGTCCTTGTCCTCCTCGTTATGTCCTGCATTCTCCCCTCTCCATTCGCATCACTCCGTGCGTTCGCCTCCCCCGCCCCCGCATCATTTGGTTTTCCTGCCAGTACTGGTTTGTAGAATTTGTCCATCTCCATTGTTTCCCTCTGCTTTGCCCCATCCGCATGCCCCGTGCTCAGCTACACCCAGATTTTGATAGCTAACGATCCTCCTCCCGTTCCTGACGCTCCTCCAGATCCTGCCCCTTGCTCGCATCCTTCCCATCCTCATCCCCGCCCCTCGCCACAGCCGCCACCCTCGTTGCCTTGGTTCGCCTCCTCGCTCGCCGTCGCACTCGCAGCCGCCCCGCCCCCCCACCCCCACCTCCCCGGTCGCAGGGCACCCTGGCGTGCTTCCTGTGAGCCCCAGAGCCTCGGGCTCCCTCGCGCGCGGGCCACGCGGCGGGCCGTCTGACAACGGCAGGAGGCGGAGGCGGAGCAGATGGACGATGGAGAGGAGAAGTCCTCGTCACCCCTCCTCCTCCTCCTCCTCCTCCTCCTCCTCCTCCTCCTCCTCCTCCTCCTCCTCCTCGTCCCCCTCCTCCTCCTCCCCCTCCTCCTCCTCCTCCTCCTCCTCCTCCTCCTCCTCCTCCTCCTCCTCTTACCCTCATCCCCCTCCCCCTCCTCCTCATCCTGCTCTCCCCCCCCCTCCCCCTCCCCCTCCCCGGGTAACGCTCGTTACAACCAGACTGAGGTATAAGATCGAGGTCGGCTCGGGGAGCATGCCCTAGTGTTCTTCGTGCTTGCTGGGTGCTCTCGTGCATCCCGGGGCAGGGTCCCCTGGGATGTTCTGTTTTGGCCCGCGGAGGGTCTCGTGCTGTTGGGGGATGCTTTTCTGGCCCAGGTCCGACTGCAGGATCGGCGAGGAGGCGCAGGAGGCGCAGCAGCGGCGGGAGGAGGCGCAGGCGGCGCAGGAGGGCGCAGGTGGCGGAGAAGGGTGACGAGGCGGAGGAGGGTGCGGCGAACGCAGGCCCACAGCAAGTGGGGCCAGAGCGGACGGGGCCGGAGGACTGCGCCACAGCGGCGATGCGGCGTGATGCGGAGCCCGCGCTTCTACATCCCGGCTCGGCGCGACCCTCCGACCCCACCTGCTCCGGCCCCATTCTCTTGAGGCCTCCAGGGGAGGCACAGGATGGGGAGGAGCAGCAGGAGGCGAGGCGGAGCAGGGGGACGTGGTGCAGGGCTATAGAGGCAGGTGGAGCATGATCCTGGACGATGTGAAGAGGAGGATGATGAGGAGCATGAGGATGAGCAGTGAGGGTTGCACGAGTATGCCAAGTGTTTATCACGATAGTGTTAGTTGAAGTCTTCGGGCAATTGCCGCCTTGGGGTCGCGGATTCTCGTCTGTCTCCGTGACCTTGTTGGCTCAAGCGAGCGCACGGTTCAGGGTGAACCGTGTGACCGACTGATTTGGAGCGGGCGCTTTCTCATACCTCAGCCACTGCCCCGCAGCTCCGCCGTGTCCAGAGAGCCCGCCATACTCTTGTCAGCTCACGTGCCCCGCGGTGCGGAGCTGCCCTGGGAGCCCTTGTTCGCCAGGACCGACCTCGACAATCTGCTTTGAGCCTACGCCTTGCCCCGAAGCCGAGTCGCCTGTTGAGCTAGCTGCCCGGCGTTCAAGTGGTTTTGGGACTGCGTGGTCGGCGCCGCTGTCTTTGTCACGATTGCTGCGGTTTCATCGCGCTCAGGTCCTTCGGCGTGACGTGCTTCGCGATCAAGTGCCACCACGACGTCATGGGTCGTGCGGCTCTTTGCTTAAATCCTGCACAGCGGGGTCCACGCGTGGCAGCAGCGACGGGTCTTGGGCCACTCGCAGCCGGTCAGAGTGACACCACTCAGTGATTACCTGGTCGCGTGCGCGACCCCAGACTCCGACGTGTACTTCGAACCCGTGGACGGGACCTCGGCGGTGGCGCAGCGGGTGACCGTGGAGTCGACCAGCTTCGCCCCCAGGGGCACACTAGTCAACATGGCGGCGGCGGGCATTGTGCGGGGGAGTGTCGGCATCTTTACCACTCCCTTCGGCGTCTCGGTCTTGGTACGGGGCCTTCAGGCGTACCCGGTCGAGGAGTGTAAGACGATGCAGAGCTTCCACGACCTCAGGCTCAACCGGGCGACGTCCGTCGCCAACAAGGATCGGGCTCGTGGGCGATTCGCCCCCTCGACCGTGGAGCTCTGGTAGTCGCCGTTCCCCGATTGGCATGCGTCGTGGCCCAGGACGGTGAAGCGGAGCTGCGAGTGGCTCTTCAGGCGTCAAGGGAGCCCAATCGAGCACCACTGGTCTCTGATCATGACGTACGGTCTGCGGGCCGCCGACAGGGGCGTCGACGTCCATATCACAACGACGAGATGCCTGCTCGAGGGGGCTTCTGCTATGACATTATTGACATCAGCATCGGCGTCTTCTTCGAGCTGACCGCCCGCAGGGGGCAGCTGGTGGAGTACGTATGCCACATGGCCTTCTTGGCCGCGTGCGGATTGTGTCACGGGCAAGGGCGCGGCCGGCGGCTTGGCGCCCCTCCAGCCTGCGGCCTTCGACGAGTCGGCCATCTTTGCGGGCGTGGCGAAGTGCTCAGACATGGCCATGATCGGCCCCGAGTTGATCGCCCTGTGGCCTCGAAGTTCGAGCGCAACGCCGCCGTCCTCAAGCAGGTCCGCTCGGCCCGCAAGGAGAGGGCAGAGCTGGCCTCGCCCGTCGAGAAGGGCACTCAGGACCCAGGGTGATGTTCGCCCCCCCCCGGGGCTGGAGAGACCTCCCAGCCGGCCCCGGCGCGCGCGCGTTCAGGGAGGGCCTCCTGGCCCAGCGTCTGGGAGGCAGCCCGCTCACAGCCACCCTTTTGGGGCCGACGAGCGGCCGCGAAACCTGCTGCCTCTTCCTCGTCCCCCACCAGTTTTGGACCGAGGCTTCTGCGGAGCTGCCGCGCATCTCGGCAGGTCTACTCGTCGCCGGCTTCTGCGCACCAACCACGTCGATTTGGTGTGCGATGAGATTGCCGGCGCGCTGAATGACATGGCTCTCGGCTCATGTTGTCCTCGGTCGAACAGTGGCCCAGGCCAGTCTTCGCCTGTTACGCCAGTCCGTCTTGGCTATGGGCCCGCCGCCGGACGACATGAGTGGCCCTGGGGCCCTTCGAGCGCGCCGGGCGAAGAGTGCTTGCGGCGAGGGCGCCGTGATCGCTCCGCTCAGCATGGGCGCCGTCCACCTGATCGACCTGCCTGCCGCTGGATCGACTTCGCGATCACTCGAGCACCTAGCGGGAGATCGGGGCAAAGAGATTGCCTGAAACCGCTGGCAGGGAGAATGCTAGACTTCATGGGCCCGCTCGACCTTACTCTGACCCCGCCCTCAAACGGTCACTGGCCCCGCGCGCGGAGTTGCTGCGACGGGTGGCCGACTCCGACTTGATCGAGCGGCACCTGACGGGCGAGGTTTCGCGCGGCCTGTTCTTCAACATAACGCCACGCCGGGCCCGGGGGCCCCGGGGCCGCAGCTCCGACCACAGATGGGGGGGCGCCGGGCCCAGCCCGCTCCCCGGCGGGCCCCGGGTCGGCCCCCGGAGCGCCCAGACGGCCGTCCAGGCGGCCCCGGGCCGCCCACAGCCACCCTGAAGATAACCCCCAGCGGTCTCTGGCGGCTCAAGAGGCGCCTCGACCCGCCCCGGGCGCTTCCAAGACGCCTCCAAGACGCTCGAATACCCTTCCAAGTGATCCCCCCAGACGGCCCCGGGAAGCAAAAATAGCCCCGCTCCCTTCATAAAACGTACACTTTTACCACATTCGACTTTTTGGCCTCCGCACCGTCGTCCTTTACGACCTCCGACTCTCCATAGACCGCCCCAAGACGGCCCACGGAGCCCGCGAGAGAGCCCCAGGGCGGCCCCAGAGGGGCCCCGGACAGTCCAAGAGGCGCCCAGGACGGCCCAAACGCGCCCCCGAAGGGCCCCAAGAGGGGCCCCAGACGGCACACCCAACTGAACCTTCCAGCCCCCCCGCCCCAGGAGGCCCCCAAGAGACTCCCAAGAGGCACGGAGAGGCCCCCAAGACGCCCGCGGCAGGCCCCCAAGGGCCTCCAGAGGCCCCCCCAAGAGGCTTCCAAGAGGCCCCCCGAGGTTCCCAGGAAGCCCCCAGGAGACCCCCCAGAGGGCCCCGACGGGCTTCTGAGAGGCTTCCAAGTCTACAGGCGCCCTCCGATCCAAGAACCTGAGACCGTTCCTGGGGCGCCGTCGGATTGGCGCAGGTTTTCTCTGTCTCTGTCAATGGGTGGAGCGGCAGCGACCTTTGTCGCTGGGGCCGGGGGGGCAGGCGCGGGGCCCAAAAATTGTTCGAGAAGGGCTTGCACGAACAGATTTGTAGAGACATCTTGCCCGTGGAACTGGCGACGCTCGGTGGCTTCGTAGTTTCGCAGCGCCTGGCGGCGGCAGCGTCGGCGCTTACTTTTCCTGCCCGTGCCCCTCTCTCTTCGGGGCCAGGGCCCGCTGTTGGGGGCCGCCAAACAAGTCCCAGGCCGATCAGACAGCCGCCCCGACGGACCAAGATTGCCCCGAGCCGCCCTGAAGACGGCTTCCAGAGGTTCCAGACGGCCCAAGAAGGTTCAAACAGCAGCCCGACGAGTGCCCCGAGAGGCCAAATTTAGATATGTTCTTTTCGTTGTTTGGCGGATTTCGGGCTTCCAACGCTCCCAGACGGGCCAAGAGGTTCCCCGGGCCGCCGTCGAGGCGGCTCTAGAGGGGAGGCGTCCACGACGATCCAAGACCAGTCCACGAGGACCCGCGAGAGTGCTCCATCCCCTCAGGAAATCTTACATGTTTTGTAAATTCGCTTTTTAGTTTTAACACAGCCAAAGATAGCCCCAGAGGTCTCCAAAAACGCCCGCAGACTACCCATGAGGCTCTCAAAGGTGCCCCTAGACGGCTCAAGAGGGCCCCACGATGGACAAAGAAAACCCGAAGACGGCCCAAGAGGACCCCAGGATGGAGGGGCAATACGAGCTGCAATTTGAAACCCTCTGCCCAAAAATGACACCCGAGGCCGCTTATAAGCGCCCAGCAGGGCAGGCCGAAAGAGGCCCCTGGGAGGCCCAAAAGAAAACACAAAGAGGCCCCCTGGAGACCCCAGGAGGACTCCGGGAAGCCTCCAGGAGACTCCGAGGAGGCTTCAAATGGGCTCCGAGAGACTTCGAAAGAGACCCGGGCCCCAAGATGCCCCAACATGGTTGGCATGCTAGCACAGCGCGAGGAGACAACGCGAAAACGGTCTGGGCTCGTCCCGGCAGGGCCCGCGGCGGCTCGAGAGAGTTCCTGTTTCTTTGATATGAAATCATTGCCTCCTGTCTGTCTTTCCTCGTCCCGCCTGCACGTGCTCCGCCAGCCGGCGTGGCAGCGCGTGCACGCCGTTTTCAAGGCGGCTTTCTCTCCGCGATCCGTTATACCGCTCCTTCGTCCTGCACATGCTCCGTCAGTTGGCGTGTCAGCGCGTGCATGTTATAGCGCGGCTGTCTTCCTCCTTCGTCCGTCTTTCTTCGATATTCCTGCAAGTGCTCCGCCACCCGGCGTGACAGCGCGCGCGTTATGCGTTGAGGCAAGTTGTTATCCGCCCTCTGGGTTTCTTCTGCGCGTGCTCCGCCAGCTAGCGCGGCAGCGCGTGCGTTCTATATCAGGGCAGCGCGCCCCGTCCTCCGCCATTCCTCGCCCCCCCCCCCCCCCCCCCGCATGTTCGGCACGACAAGCCAAGAACGTGTGGCGACATCCAAAGACCAGCTAACTACGGCCTCGACATTTCATCATAAATCCAGTCAGTGCCCCAAGCCTCTTCAGCGATCTCCTCGACGAACCCACGAGCCAAGACCTGCGCGTCGCGACGGCGAAGAGGCAACCCTGGACGGCGCCATCGGGGCCACAAACACTTCCCCCCCCCCCACGAGATTGCCTGCAAAAAAAGCAGGCCAGCCCGAGGGGGCCCTGCGACATCCCATAACCGGCCCACGACGGACACAATTGTTCTCCGATTGCGAGTCGCCTGGAACCCCGACCTCCGTTTCATCGCAGCGCCGTGGGCTGGGCTAGAACCTAAGCGCGCGCGACGCGCGCGCGTGGTTCTAGTTGCATATTAGAAGTCAGGTAACCTTCGTCTGATAGTTGATGGACGACTCCCATCATGTCATTTTGGCGACAGCGACCCTGTGTCGCTGGCTTCGGGGGCCGCAATTTCCACCGTCGAGGCTGACAGCGCTATGCCCGTCCAGGTCGGCTCGGTCGATATCGTGACACGTAGTTGCCAGAAGCCCTCCGAGAGATGTTCGCCCCCCCTCGGGTCCGAGCCGACCTGGCGAACGTTTCGTCGGCCCATGGTCGGGCCATCCGACGGGGCCAATGCTTTTATCCAGTCCTGAAGGTGATCCCGATGGGCTGGGTGCTTTCTCTGTGGGCCTGCCGGCAGGCGTTGGAGCGTCGGGCCCGCCTCGTTCCCGGCGTTGCCGAAAAGAACGCTGTCGTTGATCACCTTCCCCCTCCCAGCCTGGCGCCCTTCGCTCCCACCGAGTATGTCGATAACTTGTTCGCCTTCGGGAAGGATCAAGAGGTCGTTGGAGCCGTGGAAGAGGGGGCGCAGCAGGAGCTGGGAAAGGTGGGCCTTCCTACCCGCCCCGCGGGGGCAGGTCCAGGCGCCACTGCGCTAGGATGGACCCTCGCTGAGGAGAACCCCGCGGTCGGACTGAGCCCCCGTATTGCGTGGGAGATCCGTTTGGCAATCCAGCATATTCTGGCCGAGGGTTACGCTAGTGGCGACACGATAACTATTGTCATGTCTCAGTATACTACTCGAGCTCTTCTGCGCCGTGAACTGTTGAGTGTGTTCTCTGCGTGCTATTCCTTCGCAGCTGCCGCTGGGCCCCATCGCCGCCGGTTGCGGGACCCTGTTTGACGTGAACTTGGCTGGGCTGCTGGGCTTATACTTTTCGTTTCTCGGGATCTTGGGGCGGCCTGGTCCGAAGACGCCCTGGCCGTCGACGCGCCGTCTTCGGGAGTTTGTATTGTGCAGCAGATGGTGCCGTTTGACATCGTCAAGTCGCTCGGTCGGAGGTTTTCTCGGCAAGATGAATTGGGTTATCGTCCTCGGGGTCGCGCTCTATCGCCGGCTACTCTTGGAGGTTTCGCCATCGACGGTCCAGCTCCAGAGGTCCCCTCGGCCCCCGCTCAGCTGCCCGGCTCCCTGGACTCCCCTGACGTCGGCCCCGGCGTCTGGGATGGGGAATGGCGCCGCGTCTTGGCTAAGAGGTGGGCCCATTCGGAGGCCCAGGTGATCCTCGAGGGCCGCGCCATGGTCTTGGCCCACCTCCACAAAACGAGAGCCCTGAGCAACTTCGGGAAGCGCCACCTGTTCTCGGGAGACGCCATGGCCAGCGTCCTTGTCGTGTCCAAGGGGCGATCACCCTCGAAGCTGATGAGGGTTTGTCGGCAGATATCCCCCCTGAACCTGGCCTTCGGCATGACCTCTCGGCGGCGCTGGATCCCGTCTGAACGTAATCCTGCTGGCCGCGGCTCAAGATGCAAGAAGGGGGATTGGGCCGACGCTTCGTTTCGGCACAGAGAGGTCGACCCGCCGCAGATCTTTCTGCCAGCGCCTCGCCATGCTCCGGTAGGCGGGGACGCCCACGGCCAGCGAGACCGCCGCGCCCGCGCGTTCGCCGCGCGGCTCGGGCGGGCCTTCGGCGGCGACGTCAGCCCCGCCAACGAGCTCGTCCTCTGCCCGGCCTGGGCCGGCCCCCTCGACCCGGCGGAGCCTCCGCCGGCGACCAGAGGCGAGTCATCCGCCGCCCCCCCGCGTGATCGAGGCAGACCTGCGAGCCGATCGAGCAGTTCGGCGCCAGAGGGGCCACGGCGAGGCGCCCGCGACCGACGAGCACAGCCCGACCATGCTCGAGAGGGGCGCAGAGAGGAAGCCCCAGGAGGCCCTGTACAAGCGCATCGTGAGCATATCCTACCAGAGGCGCGTGACGACGGGGATGGCGCCCAACGACAACTGGCAGCTCGTTTCGGCGGTGACGTCCTACCTGCGCTTCGCGCTCTACATCCGGTCGTCCGAGCTCCTCCGCCTGCGGGTGAAGAATGCCGCCCCGTCGCCGCGCGGCGGCCCGCGGGCTCGCGCCCCGTGGACCTTGCTGCTGAACGCGTCGGAGGACAGCGCCCCACCCAAAACAGGCAAATTCGACGTGTCGCTGGGCCGCGACGACCCAGAGTTCCCGTGGGTGGGCGGCCTCCTGACCGACCTCCGGGCCGGCCGCGGCGGCGCGGAGCCGCTGCTCGACCTAAAGTCCGCGACCTGGCCGCCCCGGTTCGAGGAGAGCAGCCTGCTGCCCGCGCCGCGGCGGCGGGCGACGGAGGCCGCGCAGCTGCGCGCCCACGCAGCCGTCGCCAGCATCGAATCCAGGATCTTGAGGATGCCGTCCGCCGCGCGTCGCCGAGTGGACTCCCAATTGTTCTCGAGCTTTTCTCTGGGTCAGACAACTTCTCTCGCGCCTGGCGCAGATCGTGCCTGAAACGCATCGAGATAGTGGAGGTCGACATCCGGCGCGGTGCGCACTTCGACCTTTTGAATGAGACTCTTGTTCGACAAATTCGGGGCTGGGCGCGCGCTGGTCTGATCGCTGCTGTCTGGCTGGCTCCTCCTCGCTCCTCCTTCTCGGCCCTCCGGTGCCTCTTTTCGCCGGTTCGGTCCCGGGCCTTCCCTCTCGGCCCCCCCCCCCTCTCTCCATCGGACCAGCGCGTCGTCAACATGGCCAACCGTCATCGGCCAACATAGGTCATGGTAGTGTATAAAAGCTCTTTTGGTAAATAAAAACAGCTCCTTTCACCATTCGTATTTTAACATTACGTTGCAGTTGTGATGTACATGTTTACGCAGTCAGCCGCACTCCATTAGCATGTAATGCATCGTGCGACCGCGTGGCGCGGTGGGCGGATTTGCTCGGGGGGTTAGTGATCGGCGCATCCGCCAGGGCAGCAATCGCACCATCGCCGGCTAGCCTTTCGCCGTCTGTCGCATAATCGCCCGGCCTGACGGATTAGCGCGTCTTACGGAGCGCGCGAAAACATTTGTGGGGGGGCCTGGGGGAGGGGCCGGGGGGTGCTCGAGGCGGGGGGCGCGCCCCGTAGTTCATGTTGTTGTTTGCGCTAGGTGCTCCACATCGGCATCCGTCTTGTCAGATTGCCCGAACTTTGTGCGATGGCGTGCGCACGTTGTTTCGGGAGTCATGTCCTCGCCATGGCGGCTGAAGTTGCCCTTTCCGTAGCCTCTGTCTCAAGGGACTGCTGCCATCCGCCACCTCCGCGAACGACCGCTCGAGCCCGTATCCGCCCGACTATGGTCAAACAGATTGCCCCCGCTCCGGCTGGAGGCAAGAAAACATTCAAACTTGTGAAGGACCAGAAGAGCGGCCTCGTCAAGCACAAAGCCTGCGCGAGGGACGCAAAGGTGATGTTATCGCAGTACTTCGAGAGCAGCATCGACGATAGCATCGTCGAAATTGTAGAGGAGCTGCTCGCGAAGCCAGAGAAGGTGCTGCACGTCTTAAAGGTCGCCAAGGCCGACATCCCCACCAGCCCGACTCCTCCTGCGAAGGAGGACGATGCCGACAAGCCTTTGCACCACACCTTAATCTACCTTCACAGCGTGCCGAAAAAGTTCTTGAGGACCGTGCTCAATGGCTGGTACCCAGCTTTGACGGATCATCGCCTGACATGCCTGGACAAGGCGGAACCGGACAAAGACGGCATCCACTAGCCTTTCTACTTCGAGACGGGGACCGGCTCTGACGACAAGATCCCAGTCGGTTGCCATAACAAGGAGGTGTTCACGGAGACCTTCACGAAGCGGAAGGGCGACCTGAAGGATCGCCTGAAGGAGGTCGAGTGGTTGGACAATGGTGGCATCGATTGGCAGTCGAGCGGGATGTACGGGAAGCACCAGGTCGACGGTGGCAGGATCCAGAAAGTCCACCACAGAGGCACCCAGGCCGTGGCCGTGGTCCCAGAGGAGTACCCGGCCAAGGAGCAGACGTGGTTCTTCAAGGACAATCATTCCATATTTGCGAAGCTGGCCTCGGCCAGGACGGAAGGCAAGATCTTGGATTTCACGTGGGAGGCGCCCATCACCTTCGATGACTCACCTGACCGCCACATGTACTTGAAGAAGATCGCCGTGGCGATCATGAAAGAGAAGGGCCTTGAGGTCCCTGAGGAGGAGCAGAAGGCCGTGGACAAACACGAGGAGGTCCTGGGCGACACCTCTCTGAAACTGAAGCCCTTGCCGAAGGCCCCGAGCAAGGCCCGCGTTCGCAAGGTCTCCGTTCGTCGTTGATGGCGGCCTCGCGGGGGCGGTGGGTTTTAGTGCCACTGCGCGGCAGTGGCCCGGTGCGAGCATCTCTTTACTTATGCGCGTTTCTGACGGCGCGAGCCCGTTTTGCATTGGGGTAGTTGCATTGCTTGCCAATGTGGCAGCGCACTCGCGAGCTTGGTCTTGCCGCGCCGACCGACCTTGGGGCGGGTCGTGCATTCGAGGCCCGATGGAAGAATCCTCGTTGTCGAGGGTCGTGCTTCTGCGCCTTGATCGGAGGCGCGCCCGTCGGGCCAATTGCGATTGCTTTGCGATGCCTTGGATTTTGCTGCGATCGGGCCGTCGCCGCTGTCATTGTCCAGCGTCGTCGTGATTGTGCCACTTTCGCCATTGTCCTTGCGTTGTCGTTCATCTTGCGCCTACTCAGATCCCCCGTTCCCCCCAGGGCCCCGCAAGGCGGACAGGGCGGGGGCTTGTTTCGCATTGGACTTGTGATTGTTCTGCCCAGCGGCGTCAGACGCCATGCGGCGCGGGGCGCCCCGTCGGACTCTCACTCGCGAGGGAGGGCGGGGAGGGGGCGGGCGGAGAGGGATTCTTGCCTCGTGGACGGGGGGGGGGGGATGGAGGAGAGGGCAGCGAATCATGAGAGGAGGCGCCCCCATGGGAGGTCTTTGGGGGGGGGGGAGGGAGGGAGGAATGGGGTGGCGGCGTGGATCTCGGAATGATCCAGGGCATTCTGGCGCGGGGCCCTGGTCGCAAGGATTTGGGGGGTGGGGGGTCCTGGTGATTTCGGGGAGTTTCTGACCGGGCGGATCCTTCCCCCCTCCCCGCGCCCGCTCATTCCTGGCTAGTCGACAGTGTGGGGGGCGAGTGACGCGTTGCCACGCGTCGACCTGTTTTCCTGCAGCTCCTTTTATTTCTGGGCGAGGGCGGGTCTCTTCGCCTTCCTCCCAGGCGCGCCCCAGGGAAGGCGGAGGGCGCGCGCGGGAGGGCCCCGCCGCACATCCACCAACCCGGAGCCTTGGCCTGATACGGGCTTCGCAGTGGCCTGGCAGTTCACCTCCTCCCTGCCCCCCATCCGATATCCTATGGTATTTCTATCCTTCTCTCTCTCTCTCTTTCTCTGTTTGTTTTTCTCGCTCTGCACGAGCCCGGGGCCATTGCGTGCTTCTTGCGCACAGTTTCCGGCCCCCAGCCGCGACCGTTTACGTTGCCACCTCGATTTTCAGGTTGCCACCCTGTTGGGCATGTGAAACGCACGCGGATTGATTCCCCATAGCCCGTTTCCCCCTCCTTCGCTTCGCCACGGCCGCACATGAGAATAGCCAGGTTGGCCAAGCAACTTGCCACGTTTTGTCACCGACGGCCTTGGGGGGAAGGGGGCCCGGCCACGCTTTAGTGACGCACGCGTGCGTCTCGAACCAGTACCCCCTTAAATTCCCGGCGGCATGCCAGGCAGCGAAAACAGCCACACTTTGTTTTAGCAGGCCGTTGGGCTCACCAAGCAGGGGCGGCCTCCTGGACCTTCCTTCCCACCTCATCCTCCTCCACCTCCTCCCCTCCCCGATCCATTTCCCGCAGGCGCCCCTTCCTGTCCGCAGGAGCGCGGCCGAAAAATCTGGCAATGGCCCCGGGCTCGGGAACGTGGGATACTTGTGAGACCACCTGACGGGCGATGAGGAGGCGTCGCCGAAACGGAAACCGATTTCCAGGCAGTTCCAGGTGCTTCAATGGGGGCAAAACTATCACCCCCCAGGGGGCGCAACAAACTAGAACCAAGCGCGCGCTAAGCTGCGACTGGCGAGTGGGGCCACGTCCGCTCCCTTCGGGGCTGCACTCTGTTCGCAACAGTCCCGGCCGCGTGGGCGATGGTCCGCTCCCCCTCGGGTGGGTGTGCGACTTGATCTCGCGTTCCGTGTGCGCAGTAATCGTCGCTGTCAGGATGGACGCATATGTATTGATGTCATGACTGTTGTATTTTTCTCTCGCAGCGCAAACAAAACTGTACACAGTTTTGACTCCACACACTGGGGAAGCTCTAGATCTTGATAAGTAATCTGGGTCTCAATATAAATCTCCATGGACGACCGCGAAAACTTAAAAGCCATATAATATTGCATAAGAAAACGCTCGCCGTCAGCATCCTGCAACGCCACTGGCGGACAAATCCTGCCACCCCAGTGGATAGCAGGGGCCCAAACAAATGTCACGGAGTCGGTTCGCGGGCGATTTGCCGCCAGCGTTTAGGAGAACGCTAACTTAACAAAACGTGGCTCGTTTCCCGCCTCGAGGGGAGCAGAGAAGCGGACTGATGAGGACAAAAGGAGGAGGAGGAACAGGAAGGCGAGTGGATAAGAGAAACGCACAGGAAACTGAATGCATCCGGCCTCGGCCAACGACAATCAATCGTGGATGTGTGCCCCGGTAACTAATCAGCCGCTAAACATAAACACCACATTAGACCGAGTGGTGCACCCGAGTCGCAGAAATGGACTCGCAGCACGCGTGCAGAAGAGAGGTAGGAGGAGCAGCAGCAAGGCGAGGGAGGATGTGATCTACACAAGAATCGATACGAAAAACCCTTGGGCCCGTATCGGCCCAAGCCAGAAGGCTGGAGGCCCGAGGGCGCGACCGATGGAGGTGCGCAGCGATTGAAACAAAGAAGTGAAACCGAGGGGCTGACCAGGCCCACGAAAAAAACAACCAGAGAGGGGGCAAGGAGGAGGAGGATGAAACACGCGGAAGGGGGAACCGCGCGGAAGGGAGGAGGTGAGGAGAAAATTGCGCTTCCACTGCGCAGCAAGCTTCGTGCAGTGCTATCGGCGGGTAGCCGCTGAACCCAGTTTGGGCCCCCCGCAGGGCCCGTTTTGGGTTCAGCAGATGCGGGGTGCGAGCGAGCGCCACAAACGGAGCTTACCAAGGTCTGCCGCTGACTGCATCCTCCGTGCGACTGGCTGCACACACCTGGAGCGGCAGCATTCGGGGGTGAGCGAGGAAGAGACAGGCAGAGGAGGCGGAGAGCAGGCCAACCCCAGCAGGGCTACCTGGCGCACCACCCCCGGGAGGCGAGGGCGGGAGGAAAGAGACGAGGGGGAAAGGCAGCTCCAATCGGCCGCTGGCCGCCGCGTGTCCCCAGTCCATCGGCCACGCGGCCGGGACAGGAGACACGATAGCTTGCACCACATCGCGTCCCAATGTGAGGCGGCATTCCTTCTGATGTATTTTTGTTGCAGGAGTGGTGACACCAAGAGCGCACGGCAACTTTGCGTCGGGGGGGTGCCCACTTTGGGATCGTATGTGTTGCTTCGGGTGCCACCGACAACAGGCGTCCCATAGTAGTAGAGGGCGGGGGCACTGGGCGGCTCGCGACGGCGAGAGGGACAACGGTTCTTGGGGGCGCAGCGCCGTCCGCATGTGAATCCAGCCGCCGGCGTGCCGTTACGACGCAGGCGCAGATGGTCAGGCTTCGTTCTTGTCACGCATACACAATGTTGAACCCACTAAGGGTGTGAGGTCTGAATTTTCGGGGTATCTGAATAGAGAGTGTCGGATCTCCAATGCTCGTGCTACGGCATCTTTCATGGCCTCCCGCCTCGTCCTCGAGTGCTCCACCCTCGCCTCCTTGCAGTGATTTGCTTTTTGTCCCCCTCCTGCCTCCCTCCCACCTCTCTCTCCCCCTGCTCCTCCCCCTCCTGTTCCCGACGCATCCGTGCAGGCACCAATCCGCCTTCCACCTCGTCCTCACCCTCGACGCATCCGTTTCCGTCTACACATTCTTCCTCCTCGTCCTTACCCTTGGGCCCCCGTTTTGAACTCTCCTTGGGCTTCCCGCCCCTTAGGCCGCTCGTCCCCATCCTTGGGCCCCTGACCTTCCAGGCGCCTCCACCTTTGGGAATACCTCTGTGGGCCCCCCGCCCTTGGGGACACGATGGTAGCTCCTGAGCGCCAGAACGCGACCCACGCAAAGAGCCATTTCGCCGACCCCAGAAAGAGTCACCCCTCCTGGTCCTTGGGCTCCCGCTTTGAACTCCCCCTGGGCCTCCCGCTCCTTCGGTCCTGGTCCCCGTCGTTGGACCCCCGCCCTTCAAGGCGCCTCCACTTTTGGGTTTGCCTTCTTGGGCCTCCTTCTGTGCCTTCTTGGAGCCCTCTAAGATTCTGAAAGGGCAAAGAGGGACCGCGCGAAGGCTTTCAGGTGACTTCGGTTTGACTGCTCTTGGGCCCCTCTTGGAGCCCACGGGGGGCCCTCCGACACGGCTTTCCCCCCCCCTGGGGACCCCGAGAGGTCCCGAGGATGGGCCCAAGAGGGCCCCAAGAGGGCGCCTACGCCAACAAAACCGGTAAACAACTTGTCGTTCACAGTCTTTTCCTTCTGTACGGCTCCTCTTGGTGCTGATTGGCCCCCCCTCTGGGCGGCGCTTGTTGGCCATGAGGGGGACCAAAGAGGGCCCCAAGGGGCGCCAGGAAGTCCCCGGGGGTTCCCCAGAAGGCTCTGAGAGGGCTCCATCAGAGCCCCACGCCAACAACAACTGTGTACAACTTGCTGTTTACAGTTGTTCCTCTGGGGCCCCTCTGGGGCCCCTCTTGGGGCCCTCTTGGGGCCCGTTCGGGTCTCTCTTGGAGCCCCCTTGGGGGATATAGCGATGAAACGTTCGGCATCCCACAAGTTTCTTGCACCGCCCTGCCCGTGCGTCCGTAGCCATTTTGGCTGCAACACCGGCGTTCGCAGGCACAGCTTCTCATGCAGGCATGGATCCTGCCGAGGGCGCCGAAAGCGATGGCGACGGTGCCGACGTCGTGACCGACGAGGGCCACGTCAAACTGGTGTACTGGTTGGGCCGTCAGGCTGTCCATCACGACGTCACCGGTGAGGTTCGGGTTCTCCCCGAGCCTCCACATGAGGCTTGGAAGCTCGTTTTCTCGCCCGATGGCGGGGCTTTCATCAACTCCGGAGGCACCAGCACATGGTGTTCGGAATTGTTCAAGTTTGTCGCCTTGCAGGGGGACCCTGTGGAAGTCGCAGTGGCGTGCGACGACACTGAGGGCGAAGTGATGCGCCCAATTCCCTTGCACAGTTTCATAGCTTCCCACAAGGTTGGTCATGTCCCAGTTCCTTCTGGGCCTCATTTGCAGGACTTGCGCGTGGAGGTTGGGGCGTTCTTGCACTTGCAGCGTGGAGGGTGTCGTCTCTGGTGGAGTTTGAATTCCCTTTGGCACGGCTTCGGCATGACATTGAAAACAAAACAGCAGTACAAGACGTGGGTGTACAACGGTTTTCCGAAGTGGGCGGCCCGTGTACAACAACTTGGTTTTCCCCCAGAACACGTGCGAAAAGCTGCATCGGGGTCCGCGGAGGCGGGTGCCGACACAGGCCCAAGCCCCTTCGGATTCACATCGGCATCAACGTCGGCACTCATTATTCTTCTTGTCCGGTGGTCGCACGCGACGTGTAGAAGTGAAGGCGAGTGGGTTGATGGCAAATCTTCGTCCAGGGACTTCCTGGACAGTCTGTTGTTGATGTTGCCTGAGTGCTTTTCCTTGCGGCTCCATCTAGAGGAGCAAGTCAGTGACGGGCTCGCGGAGCCCCCGGATTTAGTTGAAACGCAGATCGACGTGCGCGCCGGCATCGCTGATTTCTCCAAGGTTTGGCCGTCTAACAAACTGACAGCAGCGCCAGGCGCGAAGCTGAGGGAACTTCTCGGCTTCGAAAGGCAGGCGGCGATACCAAAAATCTTGGGTGTTATTTGGAAATGCACGTCTCTGCAGCTTACCTTCCGGCAGTTGGTTGTCGGTCTCAGTGCCAATTTGGAACATGTCTTTTGCAAAGATGACGCGGGTGGTACAACGCATTGGTGGGGCAGTTCGCTCGTCGAATTCAGCCTGGGCGACATCGGATGGAGGCAAAAGCGATCGATGTTGTATGAGTATTGGACAGCTGGCCTTCGACACATGCAGACAGGCTCGACGATCATGTCCGTGTGCGTCGACAAATCCCGCGTCGGCAGGAAGGACGTTACCTTGAGCGCTGCCGTGTTGCCTAGCAATCGGGCCCATTGGTTGCCCCCGCAGGTTCGTCGATCCACGCAGGGGGGTTGAAGTGCAGGCGGTGTCCCCAGAGGGCCCGTCGCGCATCAGAGGTTCTCAGATTTTCCGGGTTCCCGGGTTTTTTTTTCCAGGTATCGATTTAGTAAATCACCGTTTTCGTTTAGTAAATCACGGCGCCGTCGGTGCCCATTGTTTTTTGTACGTATTGTGTTTTTAGTAAACGCCGTTTGCGCTTTAGAAAAAAAAATTCCGATTTAGAAAACGACCCCCGGGAATTGCGCGGATTTGTTTTCGCCAGGTTGGCGCAGACTTTTCCGGGGATGCCGTCGTCGCGGCGAAGGCCGCGAAGGGCGCCGGAGAGCCGTCCCGGGAGGAGACTTGGAACGAGTTCGCCGGGGAATGGTTGGTGGCAGAACGGAGGAAGGACAAAGCGAAACGCCGGAAGATTGGGGGCAAAGTCCACCGTGTGAAAAGCTACCACCTCCTCTGCCACTTGGACAACGCTCTGAAAGTCGGGTTGCAGACCGGAGGTTTGAAGAGGTATCTGCAGCCTCTGGCGCTCGAGGAGCGCCAGGGGGACAGTTTGACGTGGCCGCTGTTGCAATTGAGCTCCGATGGAGGGCCCGACATCATGTGTAGCTTGGCTTGGTGCGATTCCGTGGGCGTGAACGTTGAAAAGATCATCGAGGCGAACCACGACGTCTGGAACGACGCCCTCTTGGCGGCCAATCGCTCTGGCATGGGGACTTTCTTGCTCATGATGGCCGTTGTCCTCAATTTCGCGTTTGCCCCGTGGAATGACGGTAGATTCGGCGAGATGCTGAAGCAGGCTGCCAACGATTACAAAGAGGTTGCCAATCACCGCACGTGCCCGCTTTTCCGGTCGTTCTTCGAGAGGCTGTTGCAGGACAAAGGGATGCAGGCTGAAATTGGCAAGGATAACATCGATGAAGCACTCTTCGAGGCCGTTTCTGAGTCGTGGTCTTTCGAGAAGTCTGGTAAGAAAGTAGGTTTGTGCCGCTTTTACCAGTTATTCGAGAACCTCCGCGATTTCATGGAGGATTGGCACAGCAGGTTGATCGTCGTCGTTTGGATCCAGTTGCGCCGTCGCGCGATTCCGATACCACGTTTGGGGGGCCGCCTGGAGGAAGGTTTCCGTGGAACCTTCGGGGGGTCCCTGGGGCATCTTGGGTCCTCGTGGGGCCTTCTGGGGCGTTTCGTAAAGCCTGCTCGGGGCATGCTGGTCTGTCTTGGGAGGGCCCCGGGGCCGCCTCGCGTTTCCCGAGGCATTTGCGGGGGCATCTCTGGGCTGTCTTGAGGCCCTCGTAATCCCCGCGGAGGGCCGCATTGGGGCCCTCTTGGGTCGCCGAAGGGCTTTCGTAAGCCATCGCGGCAGCATCATCGGCCACCCCTGGGCCCTCTTGCGCCGTCTCGGGGATTTCTGAAGCATATTGGGCTGCCTGTGGGACTCGTCAGAGACTTATATGGCCCTTGGCGGACGGAAGAAGTTGGCGGCGGTGATAGCGTTGAAACCTGGCCCAGACTGGGGGGACATTTATAGATAATCATTTCCAATTGAATGCGGGGTTCGTTTTGCAACCCTCCTGGGTTGTCACGTGGGCTCCCTTGGCCGCTTCCAGGCCGTTCTGGGCCGCCTCGACGCCACGTTAAGGCCGCCCCAGGCCGCGCTAGTTCCACGTCGGGTTATCGCAAAGCCGTATTGGTGCCATCTTGGGCCGCATGGGCGATTGCTGATTTACCGCGGAATGCCGAGAGGGGGCGCGTGCCTCCGCCATGCGGGCATCCACTTGGGGCTCGATGTGCGGGCCCCTTGTGCGGCTCGGCCAAACGCGCAAGGATTTGCTCAAACAAATGGACGCTCATTGGGCTCGATGCTGGGAGAGGGGGAGCGCGAATATTTCGGCAGAAACGAAATGAGCTAAAAAGCAAAGGGCCCGATCCGCACCAATCGCCCCAAGCGCGGTGGCGGGTTTTGGCGTGGACAGGCGAGCTTGAAAAAACATCGTTCGTAGATCTGGTTGGCAAGGCAAGGGCGCATAGCCTCGAACAGCAGTCTGGGGCAGAGGCGCCAGCGACATCTAAGAGATCCACCGTCGAGGATATCCGGGCCTTGAGGCAGGCGTGCGGGAACACAGTGAAGCTTACTGCAGTTTTGCTCAGTGACACATTGAATATGGGCCGGTGCTGGGTTGTAGTTCTCGTCTCCGAATCCGTCGAGGCCTGGTACCGTCGCCAAGCGACGCACCTTCGATCAACCGGTGCTTCCCAGAAGTGGATCATAAAACAGCTCAGCGGGGATGTCTGGGAGCCCATCCAGGGCGTGTTCAGTGTCATTTCTGACGCGGGGGCTTTGGGGAAGATTGGCGTGGAGACAAACACAGAGAACATCCAACGCATGGAGGCCATAAATACCGCGGGCTTCGCCCTTCTGCCGGAGCAGGAGCTGGGGGGAGGGGGCGTGGAGGAAGGGGGGAGGCGGACGAGGAGGGGGAGGGGGAGGGCGAGGACGACAACGGGGGAAATGATTCGAAGCCTGGCGGCCGCTGCGTGGGGCCCGCTGGATCCCCGCACATTCGTGGACGATATTTTGTGCAGGCAGGCGTTCAGTTTCGCGCAACATCTCGTGAGTTGCCGTGCCAGCCGTTTGACGCCTATCTGGCGCGGGTGGCCATGCCGATTTGCGTTGCTCAGCCACCCGAGCGCTGATGTGAGGGCCAAAACGCTGGCCGAGTTGCGATCCCAACACGAGGCTTTCGAACATGCCCGGACGTTGCCTTCGCAGAGCTGGCAGGAGAAAACTAAAAGGAGTTTCTTTCACTCGTTGCCCGTGCAGCAGGTCGTCTTTGCACTTCGGGATGCCGGTTGGGCGATCACGGACAGGATCGTGACTTTTTGTGCAGAGAGGAGCAAGACTCTGTACCAATCTCGAATTGTCGAAGATGGCTTTCTTAGAGAAAGGCGCGCAGAGGCAAAATCACAAAACAATGCAGTTAGCCAGGAGACCATGTGGGCGCAGCTCATCGACAAGAAAGTTTTGGATAGCGTCTACAACTACGAAGTCGCAGAGTTGGATCAGGCCCCGGCCCATTTGCAAGAGCTTCCGACGTCGACCTTTTCCCCGACCTTGCAGGCAACCCTGACCACGATGGATCTTTCTTCCATCAAGGGGACGTCGAGCAAACCGTCGTGGCCCACGCACAACGCCAACAACTATTGCCGCCGTTTCGCAGACGTTTCTCTGATGACTTGGTGTCGGGCCAATGACTGTTGGGAAGACGGGGAGAATCATTGGTTGTGTTGCCTTTTACCGTGCGAGCCCCTTCTCGTGAGGAGGGCCGGTGGGGAGTCGGAGGAGGATCGCGAGCCCTGGATGCTCTCGTTGGGGGGCGTGCATGGAGTGGCTGGTCTTGTCTGGCCAGTGGCAGAAGGCACACTCGATGGCGATGCTCGTGAATGCTGGTACCCGGACGTGAAAGGACAGGCTTCCTTTCTCCATCTGCTGAACGAGAACGACTGGGAGAGCTTGCGGGTGACCCCCGTGTCGCCTGCGCGCGCAGGCACGACGTACAAGGCTACCCCAGCTTGGTTGGGATACGGGTCGAAGATATTGTTGGTGAGCGAAGGCCCCCCAGAACCTTTGATGGCTTCCGCTTGCCGGGAGGCGTTTTGGAGCCTCAGCCAGGGCCAGTTGGAAAAGTTGGCCAAGCGCCGACGTCTGGAAGTCCCGGCGAAAAGCTCACTGGCAGATGTTCTTCAGTTGCTCATCGTATCTGTCCTGGGTGTTTGGGGTCCAGAGGAGTTGCTAGACATCTTGTTGAAGCGGAAGCCACGCAGGTCGGAGTTCTCCGAGTTCTTATCCAGCGACGATTTAACGGATATGATAGGCCAGAAGGATCAGAAAGAAGCGCAGAAACAGCACGAGGAGCGAATGAAAAAAGACCAGGCGTCCGCTCGTTTTCTTCAATCGTTGAAACCCTTGCAGAAAGAAGTCCAACGAATTCGGACGGAGAAGCTACTCGGTGCAGGAGGGGCTGCAGCTCTGGAGCGGCTGCCCTCGAATACCCCTCCGGGGGATTGGACTCAAGACCTGGTTTCGTCGTGGGCGCCTCCTTCAGGGAGAGTTTTCCTCGACGGTTTCAACGGGCGGACCAGGGCCCACTATGCAGGCGACAGTTTGTCGAGGTCTTGGGGCTTGCACGGTTTCGAGGAGGCTACGAAGGAGTGCTTGGTGTGGTGTTGGAAGAACCACACGCTCGATTTCGGGGAGATTTGCAACGTGACCGGCCTGGGGCTCCGCGCGCCAGACCCCGGCGAGCCTGCGCCTAAGGCGAAGGCCAAGGGGAAAGCGAAGCCTGAGCCGAAAGCCAAGGCAGGCGGCGCCGCCGCCGGCCGAGGGCGGGCTGGCAGAGGTGGCGGCGCGCCCGGGCGAGGGCGAGGGCGGGGGCCAGGGCGAGCGGCGGCTGCGGTTGCCCCCCCGCACGGGGCGGACATCGCAGAAGCAGCCCCTGTAGAGGGGGCGCCCGCTGCGATGGCAGTGGGCGCCGGCGTTGCACCGGCAGTGCCCAAATCTGATGCGAGCAGCTCGTCTAGCGATTCCAGCTCATCAGATGATTCCAGTCCTTGAAATGAGAAGGGAAATCAGTTGTTGCGCACTGCAGCTTTGCCCATTCAACAATCCTCCGGATACCCGCCGCCGACCCAAGAAAACAGGGCGCCGAAGTAACGGGGGAAGGGGCGGGCAGCCTGGGGCTCCAGCAATTGGCTAATGCAAGAAAGTTCCCGCGCATGCGCAGGGAACTCCGCGCGCGCAGCCCCTCACCGCAGCGCGTGAAAACCTCTCGAGTGCGCGCGCGCGTGCATTTGGAGCCCTGTGTACGTGGAGCCCCACTGGGACCAAGGAAGATGAGCACGACGAGGCTCGCTAGGAGTAAGAGGAGGAGGAGGAGTGGGGGAACGAGAGGGGCGAGGAGGGCAACGGCGAGGGCGAGAGGGAGGAGGAGGAGGAGGGCGACGAAGAGGGGGGGAGGGCGATGGAGGCATTGCTATGAATGAGGGGAGGAGACGGAGGAAACTTGCGTTTCCAGCAGCCCTGGGGGGCGCAGGAAACCATGGGGCCCCAGTGTATTTGGCGCAGCGTATCAGGGGGAGTCTTCGGGGCCATATGGGGGCCGACCAACCACGGGCG